GTCGTTGTGATCATCAGGACCTGCAGGTCTGATTGGACTGGAGGTTCTGCTTCTGCAGCTCGTCACTATGTTTTCCTCCAGCTTTCTCTTCAGTGCATTTCCCATAAATGAAGTCAAAGCATACATAACAGTTTCCCTTTGTTTCCTTTCCTCTGTAGCTAAAAGGCTTCATAGAGAGTTTAACAGGCCCTTACTCCAGTGTCTCGTTCTCAGAGCACGGATCCTGGTGTGAGCACAGGAGGTTGAGGGGAGGTATCCTAGGTCAGCAGGGCTGTGTCAGGATCAGCTGAGACTCTGACACTCATCTCATGGAAAAGACCAACGTCAGGTGAGCGCTGCGAAGAGATTCTGGAAATTGTGGTGCAGGAATGAAAGTTGCCTGGTCACTCTTGCTCTATTCCTCATGTACAAGTCAATGCTTCTGCATCTACCTACCTTCACAGGGTTTCTAGGAAGATCAGACAGTTAACATAGTGTCTAACACACAGTAAAGATATTGCTACTAATAATGCAAGAAATAGACCACCTCGGGACCTTGCTCCCCATTCTACCCTAAGTTCCCCTATCCCTGTTTTCTGTAATCACAGTCAAGTGTTTCACCCAGAGCCCCTTTCCTATAAATAATATTTTGAAACCACATGATATCAGCACCTACTGCTCAAAACCCTCCTTTAACATCTGCTACATTTCTGCTTCTGTGAAATTCTGCTCAGCTGCAGCAAGCCCACCCCAACTAAAACAAAGACATAAAAACCTTTGCTTCCCCAAAGCTTGGGGCTCAGAATTTGTAGTGCTGAACACCTCTGGGCTCACCCCGGGCCCACATAATAAAGTCGGGTTCCCTCCACTTCTCCAGATTGCCATTCACGCTTCCCATGCCACCGGTAAATCTGACTTCGCTGTAAACACTAAAACAGCAAGACTCAGTGAGTCAGGGGCTAGGATTTCTCATAAAGGTACTTCGCAACCTAGCAACTCCTAACAGACTCCTTAAACATGCAATTTATGTCCTACAATTTCATGAGTAATTTCTACAGAATAGAACTCCATGTAGACACCAGGTCAGTGTGGAGGTGACCATTATCCTGTAAACCCCAGTACCCAAGGAAACAGGCAGGTAACTTAGGGATGGGCTGCAGAGGGGAGAGCACCACCCTGAGAGCACAACTCCCCCAGGGAGCAGCAGCCGCGGGGCTCATGGTGGGCAGCGCGAGCGGTCATCGCTTTACAGCTAGAGAACATTTATTTTCAGCATTCGTGGGAATTAATTTTCTACACCACATACATAAGCAAGGCAAGACGGCTAGAATGGTTTTGCAAATTTGTACACAAAAAATCTGATAAATATGATTAAACTGCATGATTGTAGCATTAGAAGAAAGATTATACTCCCTGGCTTCTGTCCAGTTATTGGAGCTGTTTAAGGTTAATCCATAAATTAAATGAAAAGTACACACTGGCAAGCAAAAGTTTTCTAGAAGTCCTGCACCCCAGCAAAGAAATCCATTTACCTGTATTCAGTTCTCATCTCTCATTCCATGTGATCAGAAAGTCTTGTTTTCTACCTGAAACTGACACCTAACTCAGCACACTTTGGAAAAGGCTGCTCAGTTTTTAGAAGAAAAACTCAAAACAAGCAATCAGTCAGACAGCCTGGATGCTTCTGTGGTGCCTGGAACGATGCTGATGGTCCCTGCCTCCCACTGACCTTGTGCCCCCACCAGGGACAGGTAGGTTACCCCGAGAGCCACGCTCTGCTGTGCCTCTTGCTGTGCCCAGAGAGAAGAGCACATGGCAGGGAAAAGACCAGGGTGGGGTGGGCACCACTTTAAGACTCACAACTGTTTAACCCCTCCCCCACCCCATTTCCCTAGAAAATGTATTTTTACAATACACTGTACATTGCAGTCTAAAGACACATTGTGTTCTAACAATCACCCCGATAGCGGCTCTTCTCAGTGTGTGGAAGGCAGTGACAGGTAACTTCTCTAATGAAGCTTGAGTACTTTCCATTCTGCATTGTAACAAATGGCACAATGTTTTACACTAAAATAGTGTTCGGGTGAATTTAATGACATTAACTATCTTATACATCTCTCCCCTTCTCCTCTCTCTCTCTCTCTCTCTCTCTCTCTCTCTCTCTCTCTCTCTCTCCCTGTCCTCTCTGTCTCTTTACCAGTTTATAAGCATGAGAAGCAAGCGTTATATTCCTTATCTATACAGTGATACAGATAGGTAGATAGATAGATGATAGCTAGATAGATAGATCTTACAAAGTTTTGTAATACAGAACTTTTAAAATATTTTAAAAAATTAAACCGTGAGTTGACTACTCAATACTAAAGACATAGTAGTAACTAACAAATGACAACTTCGGTATAATTTCCACGCTTGTTAATGTTAAACCTTGGTGGGATCCGACATAGGTGCAGTTGCCAGAGTAAATCACAAAACTGTAGTGGTGGGGGCTGGTCAAGATATTTTAAAGAGTTGAAAGCAGCTTGGCATGGTGGTGCACACCTGTAAATCCAGCTACTGGAGAGGCTGAAGCAGCAAAGTCACAAGTTCAAGGCAAGCCCAGGCCACTTCTAGGACCCTAACTTAAGAACACAAAGGCCACTGAAAAGGCAACTCAACATAAGAACCTGAATTTGATCCCCATAAAGAGAAAGAAAGGAGAAAATTTAGAAGAATTTGTAGAAATTGTCTCTGACAGTTGAGAAAAGACAAACTAAGCTGATAAAAACTAAGCAATTTGTCCATGTTTCATACAGGAGCATAAATTACCAACAGACAACACTTCGATCTCATGTTATCCATTTAAAAATCTCACTAAAAAGTTAAAAACTAAACACGACTCATACCTAAAGTGCACATACCCATAAATCTTTATTTTGCATTTTCCCCATATTCTGTAGCTCACACACATTTGTACGTTTAATAACATATTCAGACTTTCAGGATACTAAGTGATTTGCAGTGAAAGTTCCCAGCATTTTGTTTAAATCGGATTTGCCTAGGTCTCCCTGTCAACAGGTTTTCTTAGTCCAGCCTCTGGCATATCAAGCAGCTGACCGTCAACTGCATCTCTAGATGGCGCTCTGTGCCCTGAGGAGGACTCACAGCCTCGGAGTTTGAAAAACCAGAAATTTCACGTCCTGGTTCCATTTTAAATGTTCGTAACAAGGATGTAAAAAATGAGTTAAATATGCCATTCACCTGCATGTTTAAAACTAGCTGAATTTAACAGAGGAGAAAATAGAGTAGCACCAGAGAAGCGGCTGCTATTCCAGCATCTGTGGGTCACCTTACAGATTAGGGCAGATTCTAAAAATCTTCTCCAAATTCAAGTCACAAACAAAATAGGAAATGAACATACTGGGCCCTTCTTTCCAGATAAACCATTTGCGATATTTGTGTAGCAACTATGGGCGCTTAATAATAGCTGGTGAAGCAGGAACATTTCTAAGAGTTAAGTGTAAGACAATGGAATTAATAGAAGAATAATCAAGGCCAGAACGTGGCAAGTAAAATCAGAAGGAAGAAAAACAAATATTTCTGAACAGCCAAGTGTGAGGAGTTGGAAAGGGAAGCTCTAAGTAGAAGCCAGGGCTATAAAGTTTCAGAGCTGGAAGGAGATGTCTGAAGACTAAATAGTTTGCCAAAACCACCGAGATAATTAGTGGCAGACCAGCGAAGGCCGCTCATTTCTGCTAACTGGTGCACACGACCCTCACGATGTCTGATTGAAAATATTTCACAGGAGCCACATGGAAACGTCCCCCGACCCACGTCTGCACTCTTCTCCGCCGACTCCCGCACATGTGCACACAAGCACCATTGTAACAATACAGGAAATTGGAGGAAGCCATCTGAAACTTGCAAGGCAGGCCCAGCCGCCACAGATAACATATCAAACGAAGGCTGGAAATGAGCCCCGCTCGCATTCACACAGGAAGCCCAGCGCAAGCTGTTTGACCCTATTTACTAATCAGTTCCATACTCACAGGAGAATGCTGAAACAAAAACAGAAGGCGGAAAGTAAAGAAAGCAGCAGCCTTTCCGGAGGAAGAGGCCTGGGCTAAGAGGTTTTAAACAAGTCCTTCTACCCTGAGAGTTTCATAGGGGACTTCGTAGGTCTTGTGTGACACCACTGTCTTTCCCGGCCCAGGGAAGCGGGGTAGCGAGGGAGTTACTGGGACGACTTCAACTCATCAAACCACGCTTAACCTCGATTGCAATGATATGTTAAATGAAATTATTTAGTGCCTAAGCATTCCTAATAATCAACAGATGCAGTTTGGTCTCTGGGAGGTGCTGATCTGATCTGATGTGCAGCCACCCACTGATTAGTTGTGCAATTTTGGCAAAGATACCTGTTTTGAGCCCTTCCTCCTCCTCCTCCTCCTCCTCCCCTTCCTCCTCCTCCTCCTCCTCCTCCTCCTCCTCCTCCTCCTCCTCCTCCTCTTCCTCCTTTTTCTCCTCCTCCTCTTCTTCTTCTTCTCCTTCTCTCCTCTTCTTTCTTCTTCTATCAAAAGATGGTGAGACAGCTATTGCCTGACAGAATTGGTTTCTCCTCAGAAATGTGGTATCAATGAGCAATGATACGGAGATGCACCAGTAAATCTGAGTCTCTGCCATGGTTCCAGGGTTATATTTCACCTCATTGATATGATCCTGGCCTCCAGTAAGAGAAGAAAATGCTTCATTGTTTTGGGCTCATCACAGTTCTCTTAAGTCTAGTGTAGACCAGAGGTCTTCACACATTTTGTTTTCACAACTTACTGCACTATTAAAAGTAGAAGATTCCAAGTAGCTTTTTTTGTGTGGATTACCATACAATAATCCCCTCTGTATCCACCGGGATTTCAAGACCCATAGTGGATACCTGAAAACACTGATGGTACAGAATCCTTTAAATCCTGTATTATTTTTCCTAAGCAGATGGCAAAAAAAAGGGCAGTGAGTGTTTAAATTTTAAAACTTTATTGCAGACAGACATGGCTATTAACCCCTCTCAAGACTCTACCTAACTTTGAATACGCTTATCCCATCCTTCCTCTCATTTTCTGAGCAGTTCTGGATGTCCTCTCTAAGTAACGTGATAGGATGTGATAATACAGTGAAGTGCCTACTGTGGCATCCAGTGGAAAGGAAAGCTCATAAAAATATTAGCGTGTCCTCACCCACTTCGTTTACCAGGTTAGCCGAGTCTGGCTCTCCCCAAGGTCGAATTCAGGACTTCAAGGCAACACAACAGCGCAGCTAAGGATATTCATGAAAGAGGACCTCCAGATCTGCTTCGCAAAGTACACAGAATGACGGATTAAGTGTGTTTGAAGCAAGAGGGAATGTTTGGAGAGAGGGGAAATGGCAATGAGACTTCACTGTGATAGTTCATTAGGAAATACACTTTTCCTATCCCATCTCATACCTATAATAAAGTTTAAGTTGATTATCACATAAACTTGACTTAAAGGACAAAAATTATTTCCCATCTCTGGCATTTCAGCAGGAAAATCCCAAATTACACTATCCATGATAAATCATCATAGTTAAGAATACATAAAAAACGCAAAAATTTAAGTATTGAAAGCACACTTTGTTTTCACTAGTCAAACGTCAGAATCATGGGTTTACAAAAATGCTTTGAAGATAATTCATTGTAAGTTTGATTCTATATAGACTAAAAATTTAAACAAATGCTCAGTCAAACTGCTTACCAATGAATGCCAACTTTGACAAATTACTTATTCGCGAGACCCAATTTAGTCTTCAGTTATTTCAGCACTTAAAAGGACAAAAATTTTGAGTTTTCTTAACTTATAACTCCCAGGTACAGAGCTTTCTCTCTTTCTCTCTCTCTCTCTCTCTCTCTCTCTCTCTCTCTCTCTCTCTCTCTCTCTCTGCAACATGTTATGAAACACCTTTCTCTAAATTCTATGCTGGAATTTCTTACTTAATATGACTATATCATGACTTATCTGCAAAAAACAAAACTGCATATTAGAGGAGACTATAGAAATTACAACGTCAGAAATTTACACAGACAAATCCTCATTTATTTATTCATTTAAAACTAATAACAATGTATGAAACATTAATGTAAATACCATACCTTATCTTGAAAAGCAAAACTTCAGTGAGGAGTGATGTCATTTACAGTGTACAAATCTCTTTAATATCTAACAATAAAATAAGTTAGATTCTCATAGCTACTGATATGAGAATTACAATCTGTGTAATGTCTCATTTATTTGGGACTTACGAAAAGCCAGCCTCTGTGAGAATATTTTAAATCCTTTATTATAATTGTACATACTGTTTAGTATTATGCTCAAGTTTAACATGTGCCAATTTCTTAAAAGTTAGCTACACTGTAGAGTCTGCAACCTTATAGATGGAGTTTTCAAACTGTTGTATGAAACTCACTCATGCATTTTGTATTTTAAATTTTACCCATATATGATTTCTTTAATTTTTTTTAAAGAGAATAAAACAAAACAGAGCAAAACAAATCAGAACAAAACAATGCAAGCAACACAGGACTTCATAAGACAAAAGGAAATCAGTAGTGGCTGCCATAATGTCTCTTGTTTTCTTTGAAATAGTTGTCCATACCTTCACACACATATATGATTTTTTAACAGTTGGGAAACACTGGTTTACCAAGTTATATAGATCTCTCAAATGTTTTGACATATTTTAGCATACAGTATGAAAGAGTCACATTCATCACCAGTACCACCACTCTCATAGAAAAGTCTTTGTAAGAAATCTGCAAGCTCACTGTCCAGACATTAGTTTTCTGTATTCCAGTTTTCTCTTGGGTTCAGATTTTATATTTGGCAACAGATATTGTCATTAGTTTTACTTAAGGTGACTAGCTCACTTTTTTCAATTTTGAGAAACTGCCTGTGAAGTATCTAAGGTTGTCTTCATTCTCTAAAGTAAAAATAGTGTTCTATGAAAAAAGTGACTAATTTAAATCAAAATTCAAACTTCAAAAAATAGATATTATAAGAGTTTTCTGAAGAAAACCAACATCAATATTCAGCACAAATGGTCTAGAAGTATTCTCACTTGGCTATGTAGGCTATTAAGTGGACACATACTTGAAGACTGATTGAAGAAAATTGACTTTTGCTGATTGGAACATTCATAAATGAAACTGGCGTTTGTCTTGCTTTGAGTGTGTGGTGACAAATTGGTGCCTCTATCATGATTCCTGCATGCTAAGCTAATAGCAATTTTACTGTTTTCAGTGGAAATATAAACACAGTGAAAAAGATAGTGAAAACCTTAATATTGTTATGAAAATAGTTTGATCTTGCAGACTTCTGAAAGAGTCTCAGGGATGCCACTTTGAAAACCACTGTCCCAAGTCCTGTTATACCTGAGGGCTCCTCTAACTTCAGCTTGTCAGCCATCCCTCATCCTGGTGAGCTCTAGGTCCTCTAAATTGTCTGACTGTGTACTACTTGATAGAGTGTCGTATTTTCCCTAGTTCTCTGATTGAAAATTTACTATACCTCTGGTTTAGATTTAAAAGTCTTATGTTTGGAAGGTGATTGGATCATGGGGATGGTATAATTTCTAAGGTGACTGGCTCACCTTATTTATTTTTGAGACAATATTCCCCTAAACCATGTTACTGAGGCAAAATCATACAAACAGAAGAGAAAACAAAAAATCACACTTAACTACAAAGCATGGCTTGGAGGGTTATTGGGAAAGCACTTTGCCAGAGGAACCCTTATGCCTCTCTCTTGAGAAAGCATCTCTGGAATTATTGGCAGGCTTGTTTTCTCCTCCTCCTTTTCCCTGGGAGTGACTGTGTTACTCATGCGAAGGAACATGTCTTATGCTTGCAAGGTAACCCTCCTGGGCAAGTTTCTCGTGAGGCTGGTCTACCTTGTCCTGGGAAGTGGGCCCTTCCTTAAATTCAGCCCTGAATCTCACCTTTACCTGAGAGCTGTTCCATTGCACTGATGCTCTTTCCTGCCTCCTTCATTCAAGATCTCCGGTTTTGTGTCCTTAAGTGTGAGTTACTGTAATTCTCACAAAAGTGCATTTGACCCTTTTGGCAAGTTATTTCTTTCCTGTAGCCACTTCATGCTTTTTAAAAGGTACATTCAGCAGTGCTCACAAGGCTGTCTGCAGAACACCTGTGGACAGATTGGCAATAGTCTAAATGAGCAAAGTCTCCTTGCTTTACAAACATTTATCCAAAGCCATCTAATGAGTCTCCCCCAGCTACTAAGTCATAAATTCTCTCCCCTTCTTATTAAATCATCAAATCCTTGAGGGCAAGCCTGTTGTTTCTTACTGAGTCCCTATAGTCCTGGCCCATGAATATTTTCAATGCAAGACAGTTAGAAAATTTGATTAGAGAGACTATCACACTGGTTTCTTGGTATTATCCCCAGGGACAGCTGCAGGTGGAAGGGTGGTGTGGGAAAGTGGATTTCTCTTTTGTCTCTATTTAGGAGCATCACTGCTTCTTCTCGTAGCCACCCGTTCTCTTCATGAACTTATTACGCATTCCCATTTTAGATTGGCTCCTAAAGCGTTGAAAGCCAAATACATGCTCAGTGACTGCACAGGTTTTTACTCTGAGCACCCAAAGAACAGGCAGACAAAGGGTCTCGCCGTAACTTCCAGCTTTGCAGTTCTTTTTTCCTATCTCATCTTCAGCCTTACTGTTTACTGTGTCTTGGATACATTTCATTTCCCAAAAATAGAGTCTGTATAAATTTAACTAGTTGGTCCTGCATTTCTATCACAGGGTTATTTTTCAAATTAAAACTTCTTGTAAATCATAACAAGCCTTCACTTTGGGCTCAGGAGCAGAACAGAGAAGCAACATATTTTAATAAGGAAAAGGTAAATCAAAGTCATGAGGGAGTCACATGGCTTTCACAGCTGCCCACCCTATTTCTAACAGCAGCATGCATCCTAAGGAAGGCAGGCGTAATTAGCTGGCTCATTTGGTTGACTGTATTACTCTGGAGGCAGCTGCTAAGTGTGGGGGAAGCAGTGGGAAATCACAGAGAAGTCAAGGAAAGCCAAAGAAAAGACATTCCGTTTCCTTTCTTCCATTCTTCAGAAAGCCCTCTGCTTTATAGTAAACTTGTACTCTTTAAAGCAAAGTTGGGAGAAACCATGCATCACACCTTCACCCAGTGTTTTGCTTTGTCCCCCAGTTGCACGGCCACCTTCAGGTGTCACTGGTTTCTGCAAATGTCCAATTGACGCTTTATCGTCTTAAAATGGAACTTGCTTTGTGTCTCCCTTTCTCTGCTCAAACCCTTGGTTTGAGCGTCTCTTTTTTTCCTCAAGGAATCATATTAAACCTCTCACTCCATCAGCCTGGCTGAACCTGTAACCACCAGTAGGTTTGGGAGAAAAAAAGAGAACTTTAATCAGAAGGGCTGCTTTTTACATGCTATTTAGAATCGGCAGTAAATGAAAGCAAGGAGAGAAGTATGTGTGGCCCAAACTTTAATTGTTCAAATATTTCTCTTCTACTTTCCAACTTTTGTCTAATATAAATCTCATAAAGAGAAATAAAAAGAGCTGAATTCCTAATCAATTTGTATGTTCTAGTGAGCCCTCCCATAGCTGGGACATGCTACCAGTCACCCACAATTTAAAGTTTAATTTGCTCAAGTTTCAGTCCACTATTGGGAGCTCCAAGGCAGAAACATGTTGGCAGAGGGTGTGGTGAAGCAAAGATTCTTAATTCCAGCAGGGAAATAGAACTGAGGAACTGTGCCAGAGAGGCAGGGGCCAGGGACCATGCATGATGCCTAGCGTCAGATCTCCACATAACCAGAAATGTGCTTTAGTAATCTCAAGGTGGTTCCCAAACCAATAAAGTTGACAATTAAGCTTGATTATCAGAGTAATTTCTATTATATAACATCAGTTCTTTTAATTTTGGACCAAAATTCATCCTGGTTTGTAACTATCCGTAAGGACTTCCAAGGAAGGCATAAGCACTGATAGGATAAGATAGAAAAAAGCTAGCAATGCATATTTCTGTCATTTCCCTTGGACTCTGAAGAGCCAAGGAAGGAAGCCTGCAGAAAGCTTGCCTGAAAACACCCACCATGCATTTACATTGTTTACCAAAGCAAGCACAGGCCAACAATTCCCGGCGAGAAAGAGGAAACCTTCTTCAGTTTAACTCTCAGAATATAGAGCATGAGTGTGGGGGACTGATCTAAATAGACTTAACAAGCATAACAGTCTACACTGTGCGGTAAGCATGTGGACTGCTTCAGCATTATAATGCTTGGGCTTGGTGAGGATATTTCCCAGCTAAAAGGAATCCTATGGCACAGTGCAAAGAACAGCATATTCAAAGAATTTACTTCTGGACTTTTGGTCCTTCAAAATTTGTCACTCCAAAAGTTGAATGTGTTATGTAAACCACTTATTCCTAGTGGTGTCATGAATTCCGTGGCTGAGAACAGAACTCCTCTGTTGTAAGAGCTACCAAACTAATCAAAGTATCTGAAGGCCAGGTCTTAATCACCTGTATGCCCCATTATTCCCTTTCTATAGCACGTTAGTCAGGGCTCTCCAAAGCAGCAGAATCAATAAGAGATTCTTATTGATCTACCTATGGGATTGTGCAAGTCTGAAGTCCAGAACCCAAGGTGAGAGTTGAGGCTGCAGTCATGGATCTCAATGGAGTCTGCAGGCAGAATCTTTCCTCTTCTGGGAACCAAAGACTTTTCCACTGAGACTTTACCTGATTGGATGAGAAATATTCACATTATAGAGGCCAAATCTGCTTGATTCCAAGTCTACTGATTGAATGTTGATCATATCTAAAATACAACTTCACAGCGAAATCTAGACAGATGTTCTACCAAACAGTTGGTTACCACAATAAGGCTGAGCAAACACATACAAGTAACCATCACATACAGTGTAAGGGCACAATGAGTCGATGTACTTTGATGTATTCTCCAAGATTATACACATAGCTGGTCTAACACTTCTTCACCTGAACAAAGTGGGTGTTAAATTTCATGCTTCTAACTCCAGTAGTCCAAGGCTTTAATTTAACTCTTGAGAATATAAGAGAGCCACAGTATCCTTTGGTAAGTTAAAGGGCTTTTTTTAGAAATAGTGCTAAGATAATATATAACACAGAATCAACACTGGAACTGCACACTTCAGTGGCATCAAATCCTTTTATATTTTTGTGCAGTTAACATACTACTTGTCTCCAAGAACTTTTTGGTCTTCCCAAAGTGAGATTCTGAAATTACTAAACAATAACTCTCCAATTTCCCTTAATACCAGTCCCTGGCAACTGCCATTCTACTTTTTATTTCAATGAATTTGATTACTAGGTACATGGAATCATATAGTATTTACACTTTATGTCATGCACATTTCACCTTGCATAATGGCTTCAAGGTTAATCCATATCATAATGTATGTCAGAATCTCATTAATTCCTGTCTTGGTTAATTTTCTTGTTGCTGAGACAAAATACCCAACACCAGTGTTAAAGTAGGAAAGGTTTATTTCAACTCAGTTTGTAGAGGTTTCAGTTGGATGGTGCTGTCAAGCTAATTCCAGTCAGCAGGCTAATTTAGCACCACATACTCTTAATCCCAGTATCGCACACCCTAGATCCAGCCAGCTCCAAAAATATCCCACCTGAGAGCACATGAGGCTTGGAAGGACATCTACCTGCAAACCATAACAATTCCTAAGCCTGAGTAATATGCTACTCACTATATATTTATAGCATGTTGTTATTTATGATACTAACATTGATTATACATTGCTCATAATGCATCTACTATAATATAAATGTGGGTATATAAACAATATACCCATAAGACTACCTACTTTCAACACTTTTGGAGATACAAGCAGAAATTCAACTTCTAGATCACATGACAATTCAGAATTCTGTTTACTTTTTAAGAACCATCATATTATTTTCTACAATGGTTCTACCATTTTCTGTCACCAGAACACATGGTATCTGATTTCTTCACATCCTTACCAACACTGTCTTTTATAATAGATTTTCCTAATAGGTGGAAAAGTACACATTGTGGCTTTGATTTGCATTTACCTAAAAATTAGAGATGAGTATCTTTGCTTGTGTGTATTGTGTATTTGAATATTTTCTTTAGAGGAATGTTTAGTTAAATCTTTTGCCCTTGTAAATTAGGTTTGTTGTATTATTAAATTTTATACTGAGGAGTATATCTAAAGTAGTTAGCCAGTCCACATTTCTCATTGCTGGTAACTTCTAACTGAAAGTCCATTTCTAATACATTATCATTACGATGGGATGATGATGATAATCCCTTGTGATGATGATGATGATGATGATGAAACTATATTTTTCTAGACACACTTGTAACACTCATTATGTGCTGCCACAGTTTAGATCTTAAGTGTACCCCAAGAGCCCAAGTATAAGGGCCTGATCCCCATAGCAGTGTTATTGGGAGAAGAACCTTTAAAAATAAATTATGTCATATTGGATGAAGTCCAGAGAAATTTGCCTTCTAACCTGGACAACCTTAAGAGTCATATGTATCATCTTTCATAATTCAGAATCACCTTTTCTACCAAGGGAACATTACTTCTCAAAAAAATATAATCATTTACTAAATGACATTAAAAAGAGCTCTTATTTCCTAAGATGTAAACAAACTGGTAATCAGAGACAAAATAAAGGCATAGTCTTTATTGGAGTGGGCAGAAAAAGGTTTTGAGGACAATCACATTTTGGCTGAGATCCAAAGAATAAGAAAGATCTACGTCTGAGAAAGTATTTTCAGAGTTGGTGACAAATAACATCAAGAATGAAGATGAGGAACATGGAGAAGGCACGTGGACTCCAGGAGCACCTGGACTAAGGGTAGTAACATTCACAAGGAGAACAGAAGCGGAGTGTGGAGGACGGAAGCGTGCAGCAAAACCAAAGCTCCATGTTGGACGGTTGGGCTTGTGATAACTGAGATGTCAACTGTGCATGCGTAAGTCAGGCCCTGGCAGGAAGCCAGGGTAATTTGGGCAGAGTTTAAAAATGGGCTACCTACAAAGGTGTGAGCAGAGTTTAGGAAAATCTCAGAGATGTTATTGTCCTTTGAAGCCAATAGCAACGAAGAGACATTACCATACCTGTCTCTGAAAAAGCAAGGGAAATGAGCATTAACTGGTGCAGAAATAAATTAGGGATGGAGGAGAGACAGGGATGGGGATGGGGACGGGCATAGGATGGAGGATAAAGAGTAAAGCGGGGTAATAAACTCGCTGATCTCCCATTCCTCCTGCGTTCAAGTCCTCTGTTGGAAACATCGATTGGCCAAGCCCAGCTGGAAGTGAGAGTCTCCTGATCAGTGCAAAACAGATTATGCACAAAGGCTAAAAGAAGGGCCAAGAAGGATAGAGACCAGATGAAGAAAGAACAGGACACACACAATGTGAGGCAGGTGTACGCACGTCTGGAGCTTGAAAGAGAGGAACGAGCTAGTTGGAAATAACTGATACGTGGTTGAGACTTAAAGCTGTGGAAATAGATGAGGAAACAAAAGGAGAAAGGATGGAGAGAAGGGACTGTGCACTGATGACACTGGTACTAGCGCTGAGTGACTAAACAGAAGATTTTACAAAAAAGATTAAACGGAGATCTAGAGACCGAGGAGAAACAAGATGATGTGTATCACACAGTAGAATCAGAACACCGTTTCCCAGACAGAAGGAGATGCAAAGTAACAAAAAGATCCCTTTTGGACTTTGCACTGTTATTCAGCGAGTGTGCTATGACTGTGCTTAGCACTGTGCTTGTGGTAGCTGTAAAGGTGATAGGACCTTGACTGTGAGGACAGCCCAGCGGTGACAGGGAAGCAAGATACCATGCGGTGGGGTAACTCCTCCAACAGAAATAGAGCAATTACCTTATGATAGCAGAGAAGGTATTGGAAAGACTTTCTAAGGACAGTCAGTTCAATCCATGACATATAAGTTCTCCAGATAAACAATGTTAGCCCAGAAAAAACCCTGCATTGTAAAGAAGAAGAGAATGAAACTTGTACAAGTAATATGACCTGTCACTCACTCCTTGACTTAGAACCCCAATGGGAGGACACTGTCACCCTTGGTTTCAGGTATTGATTAGACCTTTAGAGAATGAATCCATGACACATGCTTTGCTAGAATGAAAATACTACCTAATACTTTTTTGTGAAAGTAATGTTTGTGCTAGAACATTTTAACAATAAATGTAAAGAAAATTTAAAGCATCCATGACTACATTTCTAATGTTTTCTCGGTTTTTCCCTAAATGCAAGTTTTGTGCACGCACATTTGTCTATTTAAAAATATGCAATCAACAGAGAAAAGATAGGCCATATAATAAGATAAAATATTTATAAATCAAGTATGTCCAAAAAGTTAATGCTCTGAATATATAAAGAACACGGATAGCCTAACAATAACAAGAAAATAACTAACCCGCAGGGCATGGTGGTTCATGCCTGTAATCCCAGCACTTGGGAGGCTGAGGCAGGATGATCATTGCGAGTTTGAGACCAGCCTGGGCTACAAAGTGAGCTCAAGGCCAACCTGACCTGCATAGCGAGACCCTGTCACAGAAAGACCAAAAAAATAAAAAAAAAACTAACCCAAAAATAGAAGAGATTTGAATAGACATTTCTCCAAAGGAGATATACTAATAGTCCATTAGCATGTAAAAGATGTTCAATATCACTAACCATTAGGGAAATACAAATCAGAATCACAGATGATACCAACTTACACCTATTAGGATGCTACTATTAAAAAAGAAAAAGAGAAAGAAAATAACTAGTGTTGGTGAGGATGTAGAGAAATTGGAACCCCTGTGCAATGTTTATGGGAATGTAAACAATTCTGTCTCTGTAGAAAATAGCATTGTGGCTCCCCAAAACATTAAAAATGGATGTAACATATGACTTAGTGATTTCACTTCTGGATATATATCCCAAGGAATTGAAAGTAAGTATTGAAGAGACATGTGTACATCCCTATTCACAGAAGCACTATTAGCAATAGCAAAAAAAAAAAAAAAAATAAGAACCCATGTGGTGATCAATGGGTGATGGACTAAATAATAACTCAATAAACAAAATGCAGTCTGTACATACAAGGGATATCATTCAGTCTTTTAAGTGAAGAACATGTGATAAAACACAGAAGTTAGGCCAAGTGATACAAGCCAGTCACAAAAAGGGAAAACTATGTAGAGTTTCACTGATATGTAGTGCAATCAGCTTGACAGTACTCAATATTACTGAACTATACAACAAAAAATGATTAAAATAGTGAATTGTATGCTATGTGTACTTTACCAAATTTAAAATAAAAATGTTATCTTTTACTTCACTTAATAACAACAAATGAACATCTTATATCAATAATGATATTTCTGTATTTTTGATGATTAAAACTCATTCTGGTACATTATTATTTAACCCAGTTCTGGTTTGGGTACATTTATGTCTTTTACAAAATTAACATCATGAGCAAGTTGTGGTGAAGGTTGCTGTTAGTTACATCTTTGCCAACTGTGCAACTATGTCCTTAGAACAAATTCCCAGAACGGGATTTCTGGGTCAAAAGGGAGTGCGGCCTGAGACAGAGAGGGAAATGCAATCTGAAAATGGAAGCATGAAAACCAGGCTGCAGAGATTTGAGAAACTGAGGTGGAGGACGATATAAACTAGACACTGAACAAAATGTTTTTGTCTGGTGGGAGAAAATGTTATTTCCTTGTTCTATAAATTGCGCTGAGGTTCCGCAGCGCCCTGAACATAGCCTTGCTCATATTACAGGTTGCGTCTACTCTTGCCCCAGGCACTGTGATATCAAATTGAATAAGACATCTTCTCATTCCTCCAGGAAGTGAAAGATAAAGATGTTTGGATAAAATCATAAATAAAGAGTGAAGATAGACGGTATTCATATTCCTAGAAAATCTCTCTTGGGGAAGAGAGAATCAAGGAAATCAGGGAATTTAGTGCAGTGCTTTTCATGATTTGATGGAGTTGTGTCCAAGGTGTACAGAGACAGTTGGTCAGGAAAGGAGGCCTCACAAAGGAAGTGACTACATATGCCTGTAAGACTAGCTGTGTGCAACAACTCGGAGTTATTTGGACTGAGACACTGTAGGTGACACTGTAGGGTAACTCACTTCCAGTGTGGTGTCCAGTGCTCCTCACCGCCTGGTGTCTGTCTCCTTTATACTTTCCTTCCACTTGGAATCAGAGTGACCCACAGAAAAGGACAGAGATAATCGTAATGTGTCAGTTCTGAGGTCAGATTATAAAAACCACCGCAGTTTCCTTTGCACTCTTTGGGATCTTGAGAGAACAAATTTGCTGTGTTAAAAGGATAGTCAGGCAGTCTACAAAGAGAAGTGAGGTTCTCACCGAAAACCAGCATTAACTCACCTACCATGTGAATAGACCAGCTTAGAACTGGACCCTCTGCCCTAGGGCGTGGCCATAGTCTTGGCCAATGTCTACCTGTAGTCTCATGACACAGACTAAGATACCATAAGTGATTACTTCTTTTTTTAAAGCTTCTACAATATTTTAAGACAATTGACTCCTCAGCAATAGTTAATTTATTAGCCTGTGTGAATATACAGCAAAAATTTCTCAAAGCCAGTGACCAAGAGTGACCCAGAAAAGGCCTCCTGTGGAGGAATGGCAGGAGGTTATGGTGAAGGCTGCAGGAGCAGAGATACAAGCCCGCGGTGCACACTGCCCTGCCAGGCTTCCTCCTGGTCCACTGCACCAACTGTGTTCATGCTGCCCCTGGTGATGTTTGGATAAAATCATAAGAGTGAAGATAGACGGTATTCATATTCCTAGAAAATCTCTGCCCATACCTAGAAACAGAGGAATGTTCCTCAGCTCCATCAGTTTAACCTCCTTTGATATATCTTGACCTGACATTCACAGCCTCCATGGGCTGAGGAGCTGATCTGAGCACCATACTTCTGACTTGTCTTATTCGTTGCCTAAGAATTAAACTTCCTTAGCTCCTTGATCAGTGCTTGGCTTCAGTCACTGGCCCTACAATTCTGAGAAGGAAATGGACCCTGCTTGGGTCAGACATGGAAACCAAGTAGTCAAGAAATAGAAAAGGAGAAGGTGGGTCTAAAAAAAAAAGCCAAAGGAACTGTTTTTTTAAAGGAAGACATGGCCAGTTGCACCAAAGATACCATGCAAATAATGCACGAGGAATGCACGCCAGAACTGTCACCATGGCAGTCACCTGTGTCCCCTGTGGAAGGAAACCTCCTGAAGAGGCATCAATAGTGGACTCCTTGATCAACTGGCTTGTTTGGAAAAGAGAGAGAGAGAGAGAGGCCATAGTCATAAAAAGAGAAACTTGGACATTTCCAAAAGCTTTGTTTTAGCTTACAAGTGAAATATACTTCTTACCTTGAGTCATTTTATAGAATTAAAAACCAAGATATTCTTAAGGAAATACAATCAGGAATTATTAAATAAAAAAAGGTATAATGTCATTTATACAACACTACAGAAATAAACTCCATACAAAGACAGAACTGAAGGAAATGAACATACCCTCTAAGTCTAGACTCCAGAGAGTGCTGTGTTGGTCCAGAGTCAAGGAAGACCTCCATAGCAAAGTTCTTCAGCTCCACATAGATTCTTTCAGGAAACAAGCAGTTCACTGTGACATAGGCACAAAGCCATCACACTGTTTGAAAGGGAATATATTTAATATACTCAGAACAAAGGGCTTTTAAATCTAGTTCCTGCCTCTAATGCATAAGCCCACTATCATTGGCTTGGTTCACTTACTCAGTTTTGTTAGCAAGCCCTTCTTGAGCACGTAGTCTGTGCCAGGCAGTCTTATGCCAAGCACCAGCCAAGTCGCCTGGACTCTTGATTAACTGCTTGCAACAGGCAGTTGCTTTTCGGTCCGAAGCAGGTTGCTTCCATCTGCAGCTCCTGCAGTCCCTCTAAGCCTTGCAAATAAGGCTAGCGAGGTACTTGTAGGTAATCTTTAAAGCCATCAGCTAGTCTGTTTCCTAGCATAGGGCTGTCTGTAAAATATATGAGCACAGCAGGATAGTAGAGCCAGTCAGCTTCAGGAATGTCAACTGCGCATGGGCCTCAAGATAAAGAAGCTATGAGTCCCTAGGGCATGAAAATTTGCATATCAGAAACTGAAGCAACAGCCTCCAAAAACAATTTAGTTACTACCTTAATTGAATTATACAAATTGACCTTTCTGCATATCGTTATCTCTGCATTTTGCAAAGATGCTTTTCTCCCTACCTGGCCAGCCAGCTCACGTTTCTCACATCATTCCCGCCATCCTCACTGTCACTCATCTTCAAGCCACTCCCTTCTTCACACAATAATAAATTCTGGGAGGGGCCTAGGATCAGGACCTCTGTCTGCACATCCTCCCTGGGGTTGGGCTCCGGACCCCTTGGCTGCCCTTAACTTTGAACGTCTTTGGTGTCTTTACTCTCGCCATGGCGTGTCCTCTTCCACCGTATTTACTGGATCTGCACTGTGTAACTTCTGGCTCTTCCCTACGGTCCAAATGACCGTGAGAGGTCAGTGTTTTGGATCAGTTCCCGGGGACATCCATGAAGCCATGACAACACAACTAAAGATGGTCAGGAAAGAGGAGGTGCAGAGGTGCTGTAGAAAATGACCAGAATAGTGAGATAAGTGCGTTCAGATAAGGGAGTATTTTGAGAGGCTAAATGGCAATGTGTCTTTTTATAATATTTCTTATTGTAACAAAATTTTTAAATCATTTTAACATTCGCCTTATTCTTTATCACGCCTTCTATGATATGCTACATCACATTTTGTCTCACGTTCCTTGCTTGTCTTCCCCATCTCTAGATGGTCAGTGTAGAAGGATTTCCTGTCTCAAGTCCACTCCAGCCCCTAGCAGCAAGTGACCTTTAAATATCAGTTAAAGTTTTGCAAGGATAAGACCCATTTCCTGTTTTCAAAGGACTCTCAGTTCAATGGTGGAAAATGACCTTAAGCAAGTGTGACTGGTGCTGAGGACTGAGGAGGGGACAGGGGACACTGGAGCAGAGCTGTGAAGGGCGAATCCAGGCACAGGGAAGGGGAAGCGGTATCCGGCAGACACAGAAGGCCTTGGGCTTCCACATCCTGTCCGGGTGGGCATGGGGCATGGCTGTGGCCACCCTATAAAGGATGCTGAGCGGCATGGGAGCCTGGGTTTTGACCTGGGTACAGTGATTTTCCAGCTGTCCCTGGAGAAGCCTGAGGTTTCCTCCCTGCTATGCCAGCCCATGTAAGTACAGAGGAGGGCGTTCATCCACATCCCGTTGACAAGCACAGCAGCCCAGTGTTTAAACACACACACACACACACGCACACGCACACACACACACACACACACACACGTACATGCACACGCACACGCACGCACACAGTGGAAGAAGGAAGAGAGGAAGTTAGCTTTTCCTAGTCGAGCTTCCATTACACTGTTTAAAGTCCTCAGGCTCCAGATAACAGCGGTGGGGCTGCAGGTCTGGGAGTCCCCGGGCCGGGCGGGGGAGGAGAGCAGTTTCTTATCTGCCCAGCAACAGAGAAATCCACGTGCTGGAGAAGCCTGCTACGCCTCACTCAGCAATACCTGTCTCTGAAAAATAACCAAAGTGCCACGTTTCCGTTTTCTACGCATGACTAGTAAATTACAACTAAGGTCAGGTCAGAAACCCTCAGATGAACCCACGCTAAATGATGTCCTTCAAGAGTCCCCGCGGGCTCAGGTCCCTGGACCTCCCGCAGGCTCAGGCTACGTGACCGCGGGCGCGCGCTCCGCCCCGCCCCTCCCCACCCCGCCCCGCCCAGGGCGCAGCTTCCTCGGGCTCCGCCCCCCGCCCCGCCCCGCCCCGCCCAGGGCGCTGCTCCCTCGGGCTCCGCCCCCTGCCCTGCCCCGCCCCTCCCCCGCCCCGCCCCCACGCTGGCCCAAGGGGTCTTTGGCTTTCATCGGTGAGCAGGCTTCCTTCCCTGTCTCCAGCCAAAACGTGCGAATTCACCACTCTCTTTGGAGCTCAGATTTAAGAATTTGTTGTGGCCACGTGGATGTTGCATTCCTGCTCTTCAAAAATTAATGAGACTCATCTGTAAAGTGGCACGAGTTCCTTGGGATCAAAGTGTTGACTTATTTTTGTTATCTATTATTTATGTATCTACTAAAAAGACAGGTTTTAAAGCAGTGCTTACTGTGATATAAAAAGAATTGCAGCATTCCCACATTGCGCAAAAATCACTTTAAACAGACTGGAATCAGAGTCATCATTTCAGTGTTGCAGATGACAAAATTCACGTCGTTTCCTATGTTGTTAATTATCCCTATTACTGAAGGTAATCCGTTTTGCATGAAGAAACAATTTGTTAGAGAAAAAGATCTGAGAAAGTTTCTTTTTAGGTAACTTTCAAGGAACACTCCATACCTAACCTCCAACAAAAAGAAAAGGCAAAAGCGATGCTATCTTCTAGGTCAGGACAATAAACAGAATTTTCTGTTTTCTTTCCTTTTTTGTACGCAGTGACACTTGAGAGTTTCTCACCAGCAGGTTTCTGACCCCTGCCTGAAAATTATCTGATTGACATCAGCCTAAACAAGGGTGGGGCGCACTGGGGGTGGCTGGCCTGTTCTTTAGAGTGCTGCTACCCCGACAAGTGGAGGCTATAGATTTTATTTGTGCTTGTTTTTCTTTTCTTTTCTTTTTCAGTAAAATTGCAAGATAGCTGCGATTCCTAAACATTTCAAAAAAGGTAGAAAAGGATGAAATTTGATCATCTGTCTGAGGCTTGGATATCTCCAGAGTCAGAGGTCCAGCTGCTCTCCTATCCAGAGCGTGGATGGAGGGGTTGGGGAATCTCGCCTGCAACCCCTGTTTGCTGTGCCTTTACCCTGCGCTGGAGATTTGCAGATTTCCCTTCACCCTCTTCCACAGACTTGATGTTTCAGGCAACAACAGAGCATGTAAACAAGAGTGACCTCATAAAGCTGTAATGGAGCTGAAGGGTCCCTATTACTCAGGGAAAAGGTAGGGGACATGATGTCACAACATAATGCATTATACTGTGTTCGTTGTGATGCTGCTTGTAAACAAACCTAGTGCCCTGCTGAGGGTATGGAAGTATACATGTACAACCATCGCAGTATGTTACACTTGATAATGATAGTAAACAACTGTTACTAGTTTATGTATTTACTATAATTTTTATTCACATGTTGTATTGTGCTCTTTGTACTTACAAAAACAAAAGTATGTGGTGGCCCACACATGAAATCCCAGCACTCTGGGAGGCTGAAGCAGGAGGATCATAAATTCAAACCCATACTGGGGTTACTCACTGATGTGGTGAGTCCCTCTCAAAACAAAACAATAATCAAAGCTTGGGTCATAGCCCAGTGAGAAGGCGGGGCTCAGTCTCTACTACCACAGGCACACACCAAAAAAAGAAACAAAAAGAAGAGGAAGAGGAAGAAAGATCAGTTCATGGTAAAACAGTATGTCTTGTTACACTGCACGCTGCAGCAGCCTAGCATATCTTTGGTTGCAGGAAGAGTCCCACTCGGTGACTGTGTGGGTTTGTGTAAGTACACGCTGTTATGTTCCCACACGGAAGAGCCAGTCTAGTGACACACACCTCGGATATAGCCACATTGTTAAGCAGCACATGACTGTACATGAGGCTTAGGAAAACTGCCTCGAGTAAAACACCTAAGAAGCCACAGGCTAGCTTTTGAGCCCAGTTCTCTAGTCTCTGCCTTCAACATGCTACCTTTATAGACTGCGCAGATATTCTCAGGCACCATCACCGTGTACCCCTGGGATGGCAGAGACTTTTGGAGAATGATACTGTGGATCTCTCTAAGTAACCACCAGCTGATGTCCAAGCAGTGCAATTTGTTGAAAAGAGGGTATGTGGCCCAAAGAAACTGGCAAATAATGGCTCATGAGCCTATTCAGCTCATTACTAGTTTTAGTGACTAGTGAGTTAACATTGGTTTTAACATTTTTAAATGACTGAAGGGAGTGGGAGGATAAAATACAAATACTCTTTCCTGATGTTATATGCTCTTTGTTTCAAGTGACATAGAGTTTTATTAGAACACAGCCATGCTCGTGTATGTGTCCAGCCGCCTTCTCACTGAAGCTGCATAGCTGAATTCAATTCTTTCTTCCTAGTCAAAGTCATTGGTCTAACAAAGTCACCCTGAATACTGACTTAGCAAATCCTGAACTATGGCTCCTAGTATCCTATGAAATTTTGGTCACAGTTTTATCAGCTGATCAATACATAAACTTATTTTATGTTTGTTGCTGTTTGAAGATACCTTGTTAAATGTGTATTGTTGATTCATTAACTTGGAACTGCTGGCCAGCAGCGCTGTAAACTCACACCCCAATGAAGCTTCCGTAAACGCAAGCGTTTTATCTACCAAGCACATCGTAATTCTCTTAGACTTAGAAACATAAGATGCTATTTTAGTACTATGCTTGGAGACTGTTTTGAACAACAAAATTTAACAAAAAACAGGATAATGAAAGAAAACAAAAAAGGAACTAAATAGTCCCTGAAAGGACTACTTCTTTACACTATAAGAGTTGAAATAAGATCCAGCACTGCACTGTTAAACTTCAGCTAGAAATGTGGCTCTCAGGTGACTTGCATTTCTTTCCTTGTCCTACACGTGTTGAAAGACATCTTGAGGATTCATTTGGAGATTACAGGTAAGTTTTAGTAGGCAGCCTAATTTGAAATTACAGAACCCATAAATAATGAGAAATGGCTATGTAGTGGAATACAAAATCTAAAATATTTATGATGTATCCCTTTATTTTAAAAAAATGCTAATCCCTGTTATCTAGTATGTTCAGACTCCTTTCAAAGAGGGTGAAACAGGCATAACAAGACTTGCTGTTTCATAACAGTGTCCAAAGTACAGGGAGCTCATAAGGGAAAACAAACGCAAATCATTTGCTGGGATCAGGAAGCGGGAGCTCAGATAATGGATGTGTTTGGAAGGTATCTCCAGACTGCAGGGTAAATCAGTTTCCTCCCTTTAAAGATTTTGTCTTCTGTTATTCATTCAACAGGTATTTCCTCCCCTACACTCCAATTTTATTTCATTTTATTTTTTACTCCAATTTTAAATTCTAGCTCTTGGATAGTTTTATTGAGATGTAAGGTGTAAAGAGGGTCCCGGGAAGAAGTCTGTCTCACCTGTGATGTGGATGGTCGTCTCTGAGACTGAATGTTTTAAACACTTTCTGTGTTGGTTATGACACCATAATATCCAGAAAGGATTTGGTGCAAGTTATAACCAAAGCAGAAGCAAAAATTAGGAGAAGAAAGACTAGCAGGATAGGCGGGCAAGGTCTGAGAAATAACACAACACGACTGACAGACCATAGGGACCGTAAGACTGGTAGGTTTTGAATTTGATTCTGAGGTGCCCATATCAAAAAACTGTGTGTATGTTTGTGGGCTGTGCAGTGAGAAG